GGCTGCCAATCGATGTTCTGCTCTCACACTGATGTTTCTCCCTCTCCCTTTCTAAAAAAATATATTTTTAAAAAATAAGCTAAGAAAATTAGTGAAAATGGCAGAGTCAGGACCCCCCAAAATTCTTTCTTCAATAAAAGAAAATTGTCAAAATTGTAAGAATCAACTTCTTCAGAATCTAGAAAATAACCAAAGACTTGCAGCAAGTCAGGGAGTATCTCTATTCAAGAAAAACAGCTGAATCTCAATTAGAAACATGAACTCTGTGATGTTTTAACTCACCCTAGTTCCTGCCCTGCTCTCCAGAGCCATGGTAGCCTTAATACTAACAGCTCACACTTGAAGTGAAGACCAGCAGCCACAGAATGAAATGGAACTTCTTCAACGCAAAGACTGATACTAAAATTCATATAATAATTCACTGGACCAAGAATAGCCAAAACAATCTAAAAATAACTAACTACACAATTCACACTTTTCAATTTCAAAACATACTACAAATCTACAGTGATCAAGACAGTTTGGTACTAGTATAAGGACAATTCAATGGGATTTGAAAAAGCCTTTGAACAAATTGTGCTCAGAAAACTGGATATTCAAATGCAAAAGAAATGCAGCTATATCTTTTGAAATAACCAGAAGACTGTTCTTAACAAGGCCTGCCCTCAGGGAAAACAAGTTAACTAGAGCCTAACCTGCTGGGGTAATTAGAGCCTCACAGAACTGGGGGAAGGGAAATACAGTACCCAACTCCAGCCTGAATGTCCCAAGAGGGAAAGAAAAAAACTGAGAAACTCCTGTGAAAAGTTCACAATCCAGAGGACATACTCATTAAAAGACTGAGACACCTCACCACTGTATTACTGAGGCCTATCTACAGCAGTTCTTTTAACCTGGTACATAATATCCAGTTACCAAGAAAAAATTACAAGGCATACAAAAAGGAAAATCACAAATGAAGAGACAGAGCAATTATCAGAACCAGACATGGCAGGGATGTTGGAATTACCAGACCAAGAATTTAAAACTATGATTAATATTCTGTGGATTCTTTCTTTTTAAATTCATTTTTAATGTAAGTTGACATACATCATTATATTAGATTTAGGTGCACAATATAGTGATTCAATATTTATACCCTACACAAAATGATCACCACAGTAAATCCAGTAACCACTTGTCACTGTACATAGTAATACAATATTATCGACTTTATTCCTATGCTGTACATTATGTCCCTGTGGCTTATTTTATAACTGGAAGCTTGTAATGCTTAATCCCTTCACTTTTCCTAACAGCCCCCCCACCCCACCCTCCCTCCCTTTGGCAACCATCAGTTTGTTCTCTGAATCTAGAAGTTTGTTTCTATTTCATTTTGTTTTGTTTCTTAGATTCCACATATAAGTGAAATCACAGTATTTCTCTCTCTCTGTCTAATTGCACTTAACACCTTGCTGACCAGCTATTTCGAGCCTGAACTCACCCATATGGCCGGCTACTTTTCTTTTAGTAGTTTTGGCAACCTATGGTTTGCCCTTATTGTTCCACAGACCATTGTTTTGTTTTGTTTTGTTTTTTTAAATATATCTTTATTGATTTCAGAGAGAGGAAAGGAGAGGGAGAGAGAGAGATAGAAACATCAATGATGAGAGAGTCGTCATTGATTGGCTGCCTCCTGCATGCCCCCGACTGGGGATGGAGCCAGCAACCCGGGCATGTGCCCTCACAGGGAATCGAACCACGATCGCCTGGATCCTAGGTCGATGCTCAACCGCTGAGCCACGCCCAGCCGGGCGAGTGTTTTGTTCTTCAGTATAATTGAGCTGTAGACATCCTGTTGTAGTACTTATCTTGGTAAACATGATGCCAAGAACCAAGAAAAGGCCGAAAGAGGGATAATATAGCCTGTTGTACGTTTCTGCCTTCACCCGTATATATCTCGAAGTTGCAAATATAGCCACTCCCACTCTCACAAAGCATCCTTACTAAAATTCCGTATTTTATTACTTTTGTCAGATCATATGTCTTGAATCTGATGTGTCCTCTCCATGGAATCATTGCTTCATCAAGTGATAACTGCTGTTTTGGTATATATAAAGATTTAAATTTCAAGATAAAGTGATCCAAAAGAGGTCTGACTTTGTAAAGATGGTCTGAGTTACATGTTGTCAGTAAATTATCGTTCAGATGAAATAATGTAAGTATTTCCTCAAACCTCTTTCTAGTCATAGTTTTTGGAAATATGGGTGATTCAAGTAAAGGATCAGCTGACCAGCAATTTTTCCATTCTGGCTTCTTTGTTAGTCCCATCAATATAATTAAACCAAGAAACTTCTTTTTAGCCATATAAGTAATGTCCGTCCATGGTGAAGTTTTAGCAGAGGTTTTGTGGTATTTTTCTATTTGGTGGTATAAATTGGTTCGAGAAGTAATGAAATAAAAAAATCCTTATAAAAAAATTAACTGGTTACTTCATGTACACTTTGTGGATCTTCAAACTGAACAGTTAAGCCTGAAATATTTGTATAATCCTCCAAAGCTTGTCAAATGTCTTTTTCTGCCTATTCTTCTTCAGAATCACTTTCACTGTTAGATAATATCACATTTCTCTTTTGCCTTCATGAAGGCCTAATGTCAGACTCATTACTATTTTCTGACAAAGTACTACCTTCCAAATGACTACCAAAGTCACTCGGCCAATCAGTGTCTGCACATAATTCACTCAAATGTTCTTCTCTGCTGCAATGCCTCTTTTATAAAACTTTTGCCACAATAAAAGATAGATGGAAAGAATTAGATGTATTGCTCGTCATGTCTCTGGAAATACTGACTGACAAGTTGAGAAAAAGGCAAGGATAAATGAAGAAGAAAACTAGAGACAGCCAAAATAAATTCTGAGCAGTGAAGTGCAGACACAAGTTATCGCATGACTGGTCAGTATTAACATAATACTCTCTAGGTCTACCCATGTTGTCACAAATAGCAAGATTTCATTCTTTTTTTATCTTGAGTAATATTCCATTGTGTGTGTATGTGTGTGTGTGCATCACATCTTCTTTATCCGTTCCTCTATTGATGGACAACTAGGTTGCTTCCAATCTTGGCTATTGTAAACAATGCTGCAATGACACAGGGGTGAAGATATTTTTTTGAGTTATTGTTTTAGTTTTCTTCAAATAAATACCCAGAAGTGAAACTGCTAGGTTGTAGGGTAGTTCTATTTTTAATTTTTTTGAGGAACCTAAGGATTCAAATGGATAAAGTAGACAGCCTGCAAAAACAGATGGGGCAATGTAAGCAAAGAAATAGAAA